AGTTCTACAATAGATGAATTACTTAGAGGTAGAGAAGACAATATACAAGCCTAAATTATTCTTACTTTGCAAAGTGCCTTTGTATGTAATCAACCCACATTTTTACCAGTTATGTCCACCTCATTTATTCAGTATTAATTTAATAGTAACAAATATTTTTCATTGTCTTTCTTATCCGACATTTTTTTTGTCATTATCTTTGTTTTTTTCTTTGTCTTCGAGCTCTGTTTCAGTTTCCTATTATTTTTATTGTGTTTCTTTTATGACTATTATTTGCGGTTGAAATCATTATATTTTCTTCTTAACCGGCTTGTCTTTATATTGTTTTCATTTTCTTTTTCCAATTTTTTTTTTCATCTTCTTCTGATTTACCATTTTTATCTGCTCAATCTTCTTCTTCTCTTCTTGTTTAAAATGTATTTCATGACATCAAAAATATTAAACTTAATCGAATATGTATATTAATTTATTCACTCTTTTTATAAATATATTTAACTCATATTGTATTAATTTATGATATATATAAATATTTTTTCTTAAAGTAGAGTCAAAAAACAACTTTACTATCCAATTATATTAAATTTATGCAAATTGGTCCGCAAAATATGCAAATCCGGAAGAAAACAATTTTGTTTTTACCAAATTTAAGATATTCTGATGTTTAATTTTTTTTGGTAAACTTAAAATATTTCTAATAATATAATACTTAATCAAATATTTTAGTCGATATTAAATTTGTATGTTATATTTAACACTTGTTTAATCAATTTCTAATTTAAAAAAAAAACTCGAAATAGACAAGACAAAAATCACTTTAAAAATACTCGGATTAACCTGCAAAACCTCCAAACCATAACATTTATAATACTCAAAACAAATTTCCGAATTCAGAGATTTTTAATGTTTATATGATAAAATGTATTTATAATATTTTAGCTTCTGATAAATTAAAATATATTAAATACTTAAAAACCATATATTTATGGATAATTTGTATGTTTTTAATTTGCATCAAATTATTTTTTTTTTTTACTTTTTCAGATAATGATAAAAAAATTCAAAAAAAATATTAAACATTTTGTTGAATTTGTTTTCTTGTCAACCACGTTTATAAATAAACTTATTAGTGTTTACAAATGTTACATCATGTGGATATCGTCGAGCAGTACATGTTACCAAATTTGTTTCTGAGTTGTTTGATCTCAGAGTATAAAATAAAAAGACGAGAAATCGTCTTTACTTCCTCGTGCTCCTCTAGGTAGATGTTGCGTTGGCCAGTCTAATGGTGTTTCCGTCATCTTTATCAACTCTTTGCTACATGCTATAAAGGCTAGCATCTTCTTCTGTTAAACGATCATACAGTGCTACGTCTGAGATTCGTTGCACCTATAAAAAAATCGTTTGTGGAAATAAAACCATCCCAACCTTGATAAATCGTGTTATGCTTTCCAAAAGCCATCAATGAAACATTGATACACCTCGATTCACGTTTATTTTCCGACCAAAATCATTTAGTCAAATTAACTAAATTATTTTAACTAAAAATTTAGCTAATTTTTTTGGAATTTAGTAAATAATATTTCAAAACGAAATGGTTTTATATCTTTGTAAAGTAATCAACAAAAATGAAATATTGAATATTTAGTCAAAATAAAAAATTGTCATTTTTGATGTGTCCATTTTAAAAAATGTCAATATAAGTTGTCAATTTGCAAAAAACGCCATTAATTAAGGATTTTTAACTTTTAATCTTTAAATTCTAAACCTAAAAAAGATT